TATTAAAGTGTATTAGACAAGAACATAGGCCAGCAAATTTCAGTTCCTATGATTAAAAGATGGTCTTTTTTTTAAATTAAATACCTGATTAATATAACATAATTATTTTACTAGAAAAGAACTGACCAAAATAAGGCTTATTTTCTAACTTCATTTGTCCTTGGGTGTGGACAGCAAATTACACTAATTGGATTTCTTCTATCAGTCTCCCTGAGTGCTTTAGCATAACTATTTACCCTCTTTTTAGGGAGGCAAAATGCAAATCATTGACTTTTAAGTGTCCTTGGTTTAGGGGAAACAGTTTTCTAGATGGTTGTGTTGTAATGTACCCCTCGAATCACACAAGGACGCCTCAAGAAGTCGAATTAAAGAGTCACATTTATTGCAAATCCGGGACTATGAAGGGGGCATTTCGCTCTCCCAGATCTCATAGTGCCGGCCCCAGCCCCAACACCAGATTTATATAGGCAAAGATCACAAAGGTATTGATTACATCCCAAGGTTTGGAATGAGGAATCTGGTTCGCAAAAAAAGCAGTTTACAGAAGCAGAAGCAGCATGTTATCTAAATTATAGTTTTGGGTCTCCGGATCACTGAATTGACAGAAACACATTAAGCAGTTTACTTAAGCATGTTATCTAAATTATAGTTTTTTGGTCTCTGGAACACTGAGTCAACAGGGACACATTAACTGGAGCCCTCTGACCTTGGGATAATTGTGTTGTCCTTCCCAGGTAAAGGAAAATGTGTATTCTAAGACCAGTATGACCACAACCAATGGGATATTCACATTACAATCAATAGGGTATTTAATCAAATGGGGTGATTTATGCAATTCAGAAAATTAAAATAACTTTTCTATTATTTTAGCAAGCAAATAAGTACAGAAGCCAGACAGGAGGGTTAGAGTTAAACTATAGTTTCTACCTGAGATAATTGCTACCATACTTCAGTTGCAAATTGCTGTTTAAATATCTCAGTTTCCCTGTTCTGCTTGCCTGGCTTACTGGCCTGTATAATTTAATTAATTTCCTTTTAACTTTTCTCTTTTCCTTCTTATCACATACACAAACTTCACAAATTTCACACTTTCAAATTAGCCTTCAAAACCTTCTTTCTATGTCCTTAAAAAATGCATATCCATGCCTCAGACCTTTCATTAAGTAGTTCTACTCTTATATTCTTTCTTTCTGTCACAGCTTCAGCAAATTGTACTGGCCTTTTCTTTCTTTGTTTTTCTCTTCAGTTAACAATTTATAAAAGGCCTCATTTTTCTGTTTAACATCACAAAGAATTGATTCCATAGAATAGCCAAATTCAATAAAGGAACATTCCTTATCTCTGAGGTCATAAAACTGTCCGAAGGAGTGCATGGCAACTACTTTGTCAAATTGATTAATCACTGGGGAGCCAGAGGACCCACTCAAAAAACATGTATCAGAACTAAGTGCATCAGTCCTAGCCACAAGTGAGAAACTTCTTGAGGTAAACATAGAGAAAGTGTGGGGTACTGCATATTGACCATGCTCTGAATACTTCTAGTTATGATTCACTGTAGTAATCACAGCACACTCATCTATTTTCTTGGCCTGGCCTTCTGGGTGGCCAATTAAATAAAGCAAACCACTAGATGGCAAAGAGGAAATTTTTTCCAATTAGGCCTGGAGGAAATTCATTTCCATTTGCTTTTCGTTTTAAAATGGTATAATTCAAAACTGTATCAGACACTTCAAACCATGCCTCAATGAAAAACCATTCTTCAGGAGGTTGGAATACTTTAGAAGTGAAAGTTACCTTTGCATGTTTGCTTTTTATACCTGGCCACAAACTTGGCTTTGTGCCTTCTCCCACCATCATGTGTACAACATGTTTACAGGTGAAAATATAAACATCATTGAAGACAAAGCAAGTAGCATTGCCTGTGTTTCCATTATTGTTCCAAAAGATGAACCCAACTGACAGTGGGGCCTTGACTTATGAGTGTCCCGACTAACGAGTTTTTTTGAGATACGAGCTGTCCGGGTTACAAGCCAGCTTTAGATACCGCACCGCTAGTCAGCACAGCAAACATCACAGTGATTTGACATATGAGTAATTTGAGTTATGCGCTCCATCACGGAACGAATTAAACTCGTAAGTCAAGGCCCCACTGTACTAAGTGGAGTATGAAGCTCATAGGTTGCAACTGAAGTAGAATTTTTAGTCACTTTTGCAAAACACTTTTCATATATGTTGAATTGTTAACATGGTGACAGTTTGGTTCTCCTCTGTTCTTCCTAAAAATAACTACTCAATTTTATACATATAAAAACAAATACAACAAAAACAGAAATTAACAAAAGTAAAGTAATCAAATTCATCCTAGATGCATCTTTACTAGAATTTCTCTTTAGCCAGAATTTAGTTTTCTTCCTCTGGATATCCTGATCAATAGCAGATGGCATACCTAGATGTGGCTTTTGTTCCCTGTTTTTTCTTTTGTAATTTTTCTGATAATGACTTGTAATTTTGGAACTATTATGTCTTAGGCTTTGAGGTGGGGAAACTTTTTCTTGACTGTGTTCTACATCTTCAGTTTCTCCATCTATCTCTGGTTCCCAGATCTGATTCTGATTCTGGGGACTGATTTCATGAGTGGCACTTTTATTCTTCTGCTTTATTTTCGTAGGGGTTGATTTGACAGATGGCTTTTTATAAATGTTCATTTTTAAGGTTTTTCCAGATACATGTTCCACCTTGGTCTGTTTTCCATAAATGTTTTTACAACCTTCCTTGAGTTCCCATTCACGTTGGTCCAGGTCAACCCGAAATCGGCCATCTTTACACAGGGCTTCCTTGACAGTCTCACCCTTCGGGGCATAGACACAAAGTGTAGTTGCCTTTTCATGAAGTTCGTTGATCTTAACAATCTTCTTTATTATCTCCCCAATAGCCTCAATGTGAAAAAGAATGCACTCGGTGTCGGGATTTTCACATTGGCGTAATATCTGATCAGTTTCTTTCATATTCTTTCTTCGAACAACCCATATTGTAAAGTGAGAATCTTTAGGGAGGCACTTGAGAGGCATTCCTAAATTTACATACCCTTCTATTGTTTTATCTTCATAAACAAAAATGTCCATATTCTTCCCCATCCTTTGACAGAAATCGTCATTAGCTGTCAGAGCTGAGTAGATATTGTCATTGAGTTCACCAGATGCTGTAAACACACTACGGTCTGATTTTCTGGAGCTTTCATTCAAAGTAAAGGTGAAACAACATTTTTCACTGATTCTCCAATTTGGGTTCTGAGTTTTAAGAAATGCTTCAAACCCATTGACTTCACATTTAAGTTTACTGGTGCTACTACACTCTCTATTGTCAGGTGGAGAATGATCAACAGGTGTGCCAACACATGTCTGCTCCATGTTAGTATCCTTAAGAAAGGAAAGATGAAACTTTCAATAAGATAGCCTTTATTAATAATGTTTCATGTTCTTATAATTGGAAAACTAATCAATATTCTGAATAAAATTTTGATAATATGATGAATAATGACTAATGGAGAAAAATGTCAATCATTAATCCACAGCAGAGATGTATCTTGTTTTTATCCTTCTAAAATTTGATATGCAGATATAAATCTTATGTTACTGAAATTATACTATGCTGTCTAATAGCTTATTTTTCACTAAGCAATCCACCAGTGCTTTCACATGTTTTTAGACAACCTTTAAAAACACAATGTGATGGGCCATATGATATTTCTGTGTACAATAATTTTTAATCCATTCTTCTTTGCTGGATATTTAAATTTCTTCCAATGTTTTACTACTCTAATATGGCAAACATTTCTACATTTAAAACATTTCTGCCTGCCCATCTGATTATTTCCCTGGTGATACATCTACTGCAGAGAGTTGTATTAAGTGTTAAATGAGCTCATCCATAGGAAGTGACAAATTTCCTGGCAGTGGAAATACTGAGACTAAGCTTAGTAGTAAAGCTGGACATACTTAATACATCTTTTGTACATTTGAAACATCACCTTTCAAAAATTCCCATTAAACATATGTTTAGTTTCTATTGTGTACACGGTTTCAACACTACTAAGGAAATATAATAAAATGCTTGATAAATAACAGAATTGGCTAGATATACAAACAGATATACATATTCAAATACAAATAAATAAACAAACATTCTTCTCTCTCTACTCTAAAATCACTTGTGTCTGTCTTGGCTTAATAGTAACATTTTCCTACTTTTGAATAAAAAAGCGTGCTAGTCAAAAACTAGGTTATGATTGCCTGGATTCAAAATCCTTGCTCTGAAGTCCATTACTTTTGTGACTTTCAGAAAGTTGGGTTTCCATTAATTCATTTGTAAAGAAGGGATGGTGATAACATCTACCCCAGAGAGTTGTATTCAATGTCAAATGAGATAATCTATAGGAAGTGACAAGCATAATTCCAGGTACATAGTAATTTCTTAGTAAATGTGAGCTCTATTGCTATTTATGCCTGCCTATATTCCCAATATAAGTGGCTATCCTTTTAATTACTCAGTCACCTTGTCTAACAAGGCATTTTTTAAAAAATATATTTTATTGATTTTTCACAGAGAAGAAGGGAGAGATAGAGAGTTAGAAACATCGATGAGAGAGAAACATCGATCAGCTGCCTCTTGCACATCTACTGGGGATGTGCCCGCAACCCAGGTACATGCCCTTGACCGGAATCGAACCTGGGACCTTCCAGTCCGCAGGCCGGCGCTCTATCCACTGAGCCAAACCGGTTTCGGCTGCATTGTTAATTCATACACTATCATTTCATGCTATAGAAACACATATGTGGATGATTTCCCCAAACATATTTGGAACAACATAAGCAGGGACCATAACTGCCACTCCTTATGAACAGTCCCCTCCAAGGACCCTACTGTGGCACCATGGCTGTAGAACGCTGTTCCAGCCAAGAGGTGTAAAGTGCAGACATACCTGTGAAACTTCAGGTCTGGTACTCTGGTCATATTCAGTAGCACTGAGTGACGTGTTCTCTTCACGTTTCACTGGGTTCATGATGAGTGCCAAGAGAATCTAGCACACTTCCACTACTGGCAAGATGAAGAGAGAGGAACGGGCTTTTCTCACACTTGAAAGGACTAAAACAACACAAGATATACAAAATGACAGCTTTCAAATACTGGGCAGCAGGCAGCTCAGAACCATGACCTCTGGTCCCTGAGAGTGGGAATGAACTGAGGTACCCCACGGATATCTAGCTCCTTGTCTGGGACAATTTCCAGGCCACAACTCAGGGTGGGGAGCCTGGTTGTTTCCCAAATTGAGAAGACAAGCTGAGGGTCATGGGAGGCGTAGGTGGTTCAAGTTTGTGAGTCGGAGTGCTAGAGAGAAGAGAGCAGCAGCTATACAGACAGAGATGGAGAGTCGGAGACCTGCTGGTCAAAACCAGCCCTCCTGCAAAAGGCTGCTATGGTGCCACCTGACAAACTTGAAAGGCAAGATTTGCAAGGATACAACTGTTTCCAAGGACAGTAACTGTGTGTGAGAACAAAACTGAAAAACATTGATAGGACTACAAGCATCTCTAGCACCCACCAAAATATGAAAGTAACCAAGCTTACTTACCAATCAAAAAACCATCAGGCATAAAAGAAGCAGGAAAATATTCCAAATAATGTGGAGAATGATCAATGAACAGAAAGAGACCCAGAAGTGACACCTGTGGCAGACTGGTAGACAAGAACATTAAAGCAGGTATTACCTCGGATTTCTGGCCAAATGGAGCGACAGGGACCGAATTTGCTCTCCTTTCTGAAAACAAAACAGGACGGGTATTACCTCGGATTTCTGGCCAAATGGAGTGAGGGGTCGGATTTACCCTCCTGTCTGAAAACAGAACAAGACAAAATGGGCAAAATATATGAAACCCTGATTGGCAAGGAACTGGACACCATGCAGTTAGGGGCAGTCACATATGAAGTTCACCCTATGGTTACTAGGGGTGAGTGCCTGGAGACATTCCAGGCCAGGCTGCCCTCCACCCCTCCACCGCCATACCCCTAAGACCTCCAGGACCCACCCAAATGCAGAAGAAACACTCACAGAAGCAGAGGATCTGCCCCAACCGTGCCAGTGACTGCTGCAGTGGGAGAGGAGCTTTGCAAATGGCGCTCATCTGGCTCTCCCGTGAACTCCCAACCCGCAGGAAGTTAGAAAGCCACGCTTCTCACCGGACACAGCTTGTGGCCAATAGAAGGCCGGATTGCTGCCGCCAAAAAGCATGCCAGAAAGGGCGGGTGGACTGGGGAATTTCTAGGAGAAGTCCAGGACCGGCCCGCGCAGCAGCCCTTGTTATCACGAGGGTCCTGCTGTGTCCCACTGCATCTTTCGCAACTTGGTCCACAGCCAGCTTCCACCTTCAGTGACAGACTTTCTCAATCTTGTCCCTGGAAGGAGCCAGGGGATCCTGATTTCCCAGGGCGCTGATTGCACTGAGCGGGAACAGTGCTCCAGGCGACCAGAATTGATTTGTGCATAGTGTCACCAGGGAAACGCCCGCGCAGCCTCCCTAGGGACCCGGAGGACCCCGCGGCGTCCCGCCCACCCACTCGCTCCCACTCTGGGTCCACCGCCAGCTTCCGTTTTCTGGACAATCTTTGAGCAATTGTGCCCCTCCATCCCTTCCCCACCCCTCCGAGTCCGCTGTTGTGGCTGAGGAGCTGAGCCAGCGCGGGGAGGGTGTGGCAGGAGCCGGGGCCCTGAGCTTTCCCGGGGCTCTGATTGCCTGGCAATGGGGAGGAGCGGAACAGTGCGCCCAGGACCTGAGCTGCGGGGCAAACAGCCCACCAGCGCGGCCCCAGGGCGCTGCAGGCACTGCACTGCGAGGTGGGAGGCTCCAGTGGAACTAGCATCCCAGGCCACGCCTGGTGGCCGCTGCGGAAAATCGCCCAGACCCCACAGAGGCAGCGGTCTGGATCCCGGGGGCGTCTGTCCATGCCCTGCGCTCCACCAGCTTCCAGGGACCCAAAGGCCCTGAAGCCGGCAGCAAGCAGCCCGCTCCTGCGGTGGAGTCTGTGCGACTTGGCCACCGCCACTACGCCCTAAAGGCAGGGAAGAATCACCCCCCGCCGCCACCACCACCACCACCAACAACAAAATTGGAGGGTGTCTCTCAGCAAACTCTCTCCCTACACTCCGCTGGGCATCTCAGTTTCCTCATTTGTAAATTAAGGAGCTTGTCTCAGGTTACACTTTGTGCCCATGAACTACCCCCTGTGAATTTGTGACAAAGGAAGGTAGGGGATCCCACCCCCAAGATCTCCATGCAGTACTTGTGCAGTCAGTTCTGCAATTCGCACTTTCAACAACCTCCCTTCCCTCCCCCCCTCACCCCAGCTGCGCAGGGATCCCGGTTGGAACAGCTGCCTGGACTGTGTCCTAATGACTTTCCAGGTGTAAAACTCTTGGCCTTTGAAGGTGGAGAGCCGGCAGCGGGTGCCCACCATGGGGAGCTACCTATCCCGCTTTCCCTCTACCCCCCAAACCTCCATGCCAATCACTCCTAATAATAACTCCAGGTCCCACTCAGATGCAGAAGAACCACTCACAGCGAAGAATCCACTCCAATTCTGCTGGTGATCGCGGCACTAGGAGTTGGTGATGATGCTCCGCGGGCGGTGCGGGAATGTCTGCTGCTTGGCAGGAAGTGAGAAAGCCCATGCTCCAGACCGGGCGGGGCTTCTGGCCAACAGACTGCCAGGTTGCACTGCCAAGTTGCCTGGAGAAAGGGCGGGAGGCAAGGCGGGGTCCCCGGACATGCCCGGGCAGCCCCTAGGGATCCGAAGATCTCGCTGCATCTCACTCATCCACTTGTTGGGCACAAACTATGAGCAATCGTGCCCTCCGTCCCTTCCCTGCCGCTCTGAGTCCACTGTCGTCGCGGGCGGGTGTGAGAGGAGCCGGGGGACCAACGATTTCAGGGACCCTGATTGCACAGCCGCGCGGCTTCCAGGAGCAGGAGCAGTGCTCCAGGGACCAGAGTTGCGGGGCGAACAGCCCTTCAAAGCTGCTCCGGGTGCTTTCTGCGCAGTGGTCGGTGCCCTTCAGATGCTGCGAGGTGGGCGAGGTGGGCGGCGGCCTTGAGATGACCATCCCCAGCCAGATCCGAGGGCCGCTGAGGAAAATCGCCCACACTACAGAGGCAACGGTCCAGATCACATGGGGCGTCTGTTCATTTGTGCCTTGCGCTTCACCAGCTCCCAGGGACCAATAGCCCCCAAGCAGGCAGAAAACAGCCCACTTCTGTGGTGGGGTCTGGTGGGACTTAGGCCCTCCCACTCCACTTCCCCACTTCCCTGCAGGCAAAAAAGTCAACTTGTTGGAGGGGCTGATGCACAGCAGACAGTGCCCAGCAGAAGGAAGGGAGAGGCCAGCACCACACTCCTGGTGTCCAGGAGCGCCTTCCTAGAGGGTTCCGATAGAGGACTCCACAGTCAGGCATCTCCCAGCAGATGATCAGAGAGTGCTTTGCAAGGGGCTTGAGGAAACATCTTACTCTTTAAGAACCGGAATAAGAGCCAGATGCCTTCAATATTGGGTGCTCTGTTAGAAGAGTTGGTCAAAGAGGGGGAGGATATAATTGGTAGGTGATGATGGTGACAACTCTTTTGTAACTTACAGAGAAATATTAGTAGATGTTTATGTGAAAGCTGATGGTGTTGGTGGAATAATTGGAAAAGTTTCCCCTAATTTGACCTGAAGTAACATAGACACTGAGGACTGCCATCACTGCTCTGATTCTGGGTGCTGGGTGGGGTTTGCAGAGAGCACACGTTAAGAGCATCATTGTAAATGTAGTATGAAGAAGGTTAGAAAAAATAAGAAAAATGGAGTTTTACAAATCCCAACTATTCTTTAAATTATCCTAAAGTAGTACAGGTGACTGGTACCAACAGGGATACTGAGGTGGAGAACAAATTATTGTACGAGGGGATCTGCCGATTCTCTCCCTTTGAATCTTTAGATGTTAAAATGTTAGGAGGAGCTAGAGGTGGTAGAGAATGGTGCTGTGGAAATTGTGTGACATCTCTGGAGACAGAAGTGCGTAGGAATGGTTTGTTTATGGATGTGGTGTTCCAGAAATGAGAGAAAAAGAGGGATCCTCAATGAGTCCTATGCTTTTGACCTGAGCAACTACAAGATAAAGTTT